CTGTGGATGTAGTTTATCTGGACTTCAGCATTTAGCAGCTCTTTCCAGTAGAGGAAGACTGCCCAATGTCCAGCTACTTCATCCTCGGAATAAAAAAGTCCAGCTCAAGAGAAGGAGAAGATTCCTGAGCAAGATGTCACTGGCAGAGTTGGCCCATAGCTACAAGGCTGGAAACATCCTCCCCAGGTGAGACTGCACGACAAGGCTGCACTGCGGGAACAGCACCAAGCTGCGCCTCCTAACAAACAGAAGCTAAGCTGAGCACCGCCACCTCCTCTCGGTCCCTGGAGAAAGCAGTGAAGTGGTGGCATGGAGAACACAGGAGCTGTAGCTCTGCTGACCACGGAAGCCATCTGCAGTGTAAATAACATGGCACCACACTCTCCACCCAGAGGTCACGACCTTGTAGAATGGAGCCTGCACTAAAGAAGGGAGCACAGCCACTACTGAAGTGGCTGTCAGAGCGCAACAGTGGCAACTCTCCAGCTGGCAGCCTCGCAGCACCTCAGCACCAGTGAGGGAATGAATTCACAAGGCAAAGAAATCCCCCTGAGTAGTCTCAAAACTCAGCTGACTGCTTTTTGGCACCAAAATGGCTTATTTGTTTTTTTTCCTGTACGGAAGGAACACACTCAGCCCAAGAATGGCTAAGATGCTTCCTTAAAACATTTTCTAGATGTAGAATAATTCCCCCAAATTCCCAGTCAATTCAACTACGCTACACTGGAAAAGCACACCGTTATCTTAAAACATCCATACTGTGCAGAAGTCTGCTCGGATCAGCTTGAGGACAGAAGGGGGCTAAAGAGGATGATCCGACTTTTTATCTAATACGGTGTTCTAAACTTAGCTCAGGGATGCCAGTCTGAGACTGCACTCTGGAAGAAACCCAGCAATTCCATAATCCAGTGGAAGCTGACATTGCAGACAGGAGCAATGCAGGTTTCTCACACTGTGACTCCTGACATGAACTGTCTGAGGGACTTTTGAGAACTCAGATATTACAGTTTGCTTCACTGGAGAACTCATCAGGATTCCCAGATTCCCCTTCCCTTTATTTCCCCGGGAAGGGAAGAATGGACCGCGAGCAACAACACAGCCTAATCATAAGCTTACGTCTCACGCTGGTATTCCCCACAAGCCAGACAATGGTGAGTGCAGGCTGTCAAGTGATCTCTTGAGTGAAGTTCTAGTTAGTATTTCGTGCTGGAAAGCCAGCAGCACTGAATAGAACTGAAGGAAATGAGAGCTGAAGAAAGACAGTAGGAAGCTTGGGAGGACAGAAAGCCAGCTGCTCTTCAGGCACCAGCACCCCTCTGGAAACTCTGCCTGAAATGCAGTAGGGA